TTCCGGGTCTGTAAAGTATCTCAAACTCGTAGCCGGATAGTTTTGATATCCACTTTTGGTGCTCTCCTGGCACGGTTCGCTGTTCAAGTAAGTATTTCAAACTCTTCTGATCAGTGAGGACAATAAATTTTCGCCCTAATAGGTACGGACGCCACTTTTGGACCGCCAACACTATTGCCATTAACTCCCGTTCGTAAACAGATTTTGCTTGTGCCCGCGGACCCAAAACTTGACTAAAGTAGGCAATCGGTCAGCCCTCCTGCATCATCAGGACGGCTCCGACCCCGTGCCCTGACGCATCCGTTTCGATCGTAAAGCTTTTAGCAAAGTTGGGTAGAGCCAAGACAGGTACCTTGGTCATTACCTCCTGCAAGGTCTGAAAGGCTTGGGTGGCCTCGTCTGTCCACTTAAACCGTCTTTTTTCAACAGGTCGGTTAACGGTCGCGCGATTTTTCCGTAACCTTGTACGAACTTTCTATAGTATCCCGTAAGACCCAGAAAGCCTCGCAATTYCCGTATGTTTCGCGGGAGKGGCCACTCCRTCATTGTTGTGATCTTAGTAGGGTCGGCTTTTACCCCGTCCCTGGAGACAATGTGTCCCAAGTAGTCTACCTACGCCTGTCCGAACACACATTKTTTCTTATTACAGTAGAGGCTCTCAGCTTCCAGACGCCCGAACACCACTCTCAAGTGTTCCCGATGCTCCTCCATAGTCCGACTGTAGACCAGAATGTCGTCAAAAAACACCAGCACGAACTTGCGAAGATACGGTCGGAACACCTTGTTCATCAAGGACTGGAAGGTGGATGGTGCATTGATTAAGCCGAAAGGCATAACCAGGAATTCGTAATGTCCTTCATGGGTTCGGAAAGCTGTTTTGTGAATATCGGCGCTCTTCATTCGGAGTTGGTGGTACCCCGACTTCAGATCCAATTTGCTGAACACTGTGGCACCATGTAGCTCGTCCAGCAGCTCGTCAATGACGGGAATCGGGAACTTGTCAAGCACAGTGGATTTGTTTAAGGCCCTGTAGTACACACAGAATCGCCAGCTCCCGTTTTTTTTTTTTTTGACTAACAAGACCGGGCTCGAGAAAGGGCTGGTGCTCGATCTAATGATGCCTGACTCGATCATCTCTCCAACCAGCTTCTCGATTTCATCTTTTTGCAACTGCCGGTAGCGATAAGGACGGACATTTACTGGTTATGTTCCGCCTTTCAACACGATAGCGTGTTCATGCTCCCGGGAGGGCGGTAAACCTGTGGGCATAACAAAAACATCGGAGAACTCCGCTAGTAAGCCATCGAGGGCGGGGTGGACCTGCGATTCGGGCATGCCGGGTGCTTCAGTGTTCGCTAATGTGATGATATAGCTTTCTTCGATTGCGGGTAGCCCTCGTGCTAGGGCGCGTAATGAGGCCGCCCTTCGATGTAGACCAGGATCACCACGCAATATAACCTGGTCGCCTTGGTGATCAAACATCATGATTAGTGTTCGCCAATTCACACGAGTGTCCCCTAGTTGCATTAGCCACTTGATCCCCAAGATAACGTCGGTGCTTCCTAATTCAAGCGGGAAAAAATCTTCGGTGATGATCAGGCCCGGAAGCTGCAGTTCCAGTTGCTTGCAGATTCCGTAGCTTTTGGCGGCTTTCCCGTTCCCCAAAATCACATCCGTTTCGCGGTAGCCAGACACCTTTAGTTTTAGTGGTTGTATTAACTGCACATTCTCCCTTCCGGGTCTGTAAAGTATCTCAAACTCGTAGCCGGATAGTTTTGATATCCACTTTTGGTGCTCTCCTGGCACGGTTCGCTGTTCAAGTAAGTAT